GGCTTAGTCCAAGAATACCGAACAACTTACCAACTGCACTGTCTAACCATCACCCCAGAGCATGATCCGTAAATCGATTGACATCCAGGTTCCCAATTACTGCTGGGTAGACAGAGGCAAATGGCATAAAGAAACTTGCCTGCAGGTTTACCATGCCTGGGGATCGAACTCGAGTCCGTTCGCTTGCGAGGTGAGCATGTTGACCATTACAACACAGGTCGCCATAAGCTATGTATAGCATAGTAGGGTAAGGCAGTTCCCAGGTGAGAATTCTAAAGAACAATAAAAGAATTTGATACAAGGTACTTAAGGCAGAAAGACTGATAGAGAAAACTTTGAAGGAACAGAGGGATTTATTATAAAAGATGGTCTTACCTACCAGTAATTGCATTTCACAATCAGTTAGGTGGAGCAATATAATTCATAATTATCATAAGGTCAAAAACTTAAAAGGGAATAAACTTTCTTCATGTTAAGAGTTCACACATACCTTGCATGTGTGATAAATGTAATGGTATACATGTGTTTAAGCAAAGCCATATTTATTTTTTAAAGCCTACCTTGGTAAGTCAAAAGGCTGAAGCAAACTCAACTCCCAGCACTCTATTTCCCAGCATTCATTAACCATGCTACCTATCTTTATTATGTTATTTAACAATTGTGCTACTTCTAACGTTTGTTTGCAATCTCGACAAAAAAAGGCTGCTAAAACTTTTAGGGAATCTAAATGAAAGTTTAATACAACTGCCATTTGCATAGATGCTGGCTGCTTGACCTCAACAGTTGCCATAGTAATGCAGCCCAGCTGAGATGCTGCTTCTGCCAACTGTCTGGCAACCCTCCCCCACACACACACACACACTGCTCCTCTGCTAACTCGTGCACAAAGAAATGTTTATTCCTTTTTGTGTTTGACGTTATGATAATTATTCCATGGCAATAATACTGCCATCGATGTTAACGGATGCAAATGAAAAGAAAATTATCTGTCAGTCTTCACTTACCCTATATTTGTAGATTTAAAGTGGCATGTACAGTGTACAGTTCTAAATATTGCAACATACAGAAAATCTAGGGGTATGGTAGGCAAGCCCACAAGCATGACCTGGGTATCTATTGTTTACTGTAAATGACCCACAGAATTACGTGAAATTTAATCCCTCAAAAACAGACTTGCGTATATACTACAGTACTGTACAGTAATTTGCTCCTGTACGCTTTGTGTAAAAATTTGATCATAAAAACTTGAGCTATACTCAAGTATACTGTAAACTGTAAATACAGGTAAAGATAAATATAGAAGCACCAACCATAAGAAGTGAGCTGTGGCAGTTGTAAACAATGTTGTTGATTATCATGGGTTACAGTGGCGCCCCACTGGACAGCTGGCCAAGCGGCAGTTTCACAAACTAAAACTGGGGCCGCCAGATACAAATCGTGCTGAACCCTTGAAGCTGCCAAACTATTGGATCCCAAACTATATGGAGGTTCAACCTGAAGTACTGTAAGAAGATTTAAGTTTTGCGGAAAGCAAGATGTACTCGTATCATCCAAGGGCAGGCACCTTCACTAAGCTCATAAAACAAGGTGAAGATACCTGTTCGAGTTACACAAATCCCTTCAAGTTTCCAAGTCGTACGTTTACTGTGCGTATTACATTTCCTACCATTTAGATGTTACGCATTTCTTGGGCAAACACCGATCCTGATCATAGCAAATACAGACCTCAGAACATAGAGAAATGAAGTAAATAATACCATGAGAAGTTCATGGATGTAGATATTTTGAGTCTAAAACCATCAGGTAGTACTCAAAATATCCTTTAGAAAGCTCTGGAAGCAAGGCTCGCCACCACCTATCACCTTTAAGTCCTCTGCCAATATGTGTGTTGTTGAGAAATTGATACCAAGCTTTTATGATGAATGTGCAACTTGTGCAAGGAAAAAAAGGTGAAATTAATTAGTCAATTTTTGTTATGATCTAGTACATTACACTACTCAGACAGAGGACTGCCATAACCTTACATTCCAAGGATTTTATATGATTATAAAAAGTGTTAAAGTTAAATTTCTTGACTTTCCTGGCCAGTAGAAAGCTATCAAATTTCCTGACCAAGTGTAAAGTTTTTATACTTCCTGACTTAAGAAATATATTTTTCCTGACTTTTCATGATTGTAAGAACTATTGTTACAGTATTGATGGATTTGGCAGAATCCCTTTTCTACATTCATGAGGGTTTTTTTTTTTCGGGAATTAACCCACCCAAGTACAGTTCACTGACCCAAATTTGGGCCTGGGGTGTGAAAATATAATAATAATAATAATAATAATAATAATAACAAATAAAAATAGATAAAAACTATAAAAAAATAATAACCGTAAATAAATACAAAAACGAAAAAAGAAATCAAGAGTGAGAAATGATATACAGTACAGTATGTACTCATTTGTTGTGTTGTCAGTAGTAGTAAAAGAAACAATTGAAACCCTGCAATTGTGTGTAAATGAGGCAGAAAGTCAGTTCAGTAACCTGGGACTTGGTCACAATTTTTGTAGTGCCATATGGCAGCAGGGTCTACCATTAGACTTTTTTTTTTTTTTTTTTTTTTTTAATATATATGGGGATTAGCCCACCCAGACACAGGTCACTGACCCACATCGGGGCCTGGGAGGCGAAAATGTAATAATAATAATAATAATAAATAATAGTCATAATAATTCATAATAAATAAATTTTATGATAAAACAAACAAAAATTAAATAATAAAATAATGATGATAATAATACAGTAACTAATAATAATAATATTAATAATAAAGAACTATAAATACAAAAATGCAAAAAAAGATCAAAAGTGAGAAATGATATATGTATGTTGTGTTGTCAATGGTAAGAGAAACAATTGAGACCCTGCAATTGCGTGTAAATGAAGCAGAAAGTCAGATCAGCAACCTGGGACTTGGTCACAATTTTTGTGATGCCATATGGCAGCAGGGTCTACCATTAGACAACACATTATGCTTCCATTATCTTCCCAGGTGGTAGTACCTCCATGTTTGATGGCTGTCTACTACCTACTAATGGTTTAAATGGTTGATATAGTTAAAACTCAAGCTGTGACCAATATCAACCTGGTGTTCACTTGCCTCCACACATCTTATGACCTGCATTTTCACATTTGTACTGATACTTTTCCTTGACTGCTTGGCCACATTACCGGTAATATCACTTATAGGCCTTTTCCAGATACAATATTGTGGATCAAGTGTAAGTTTGAGAGTTAGTACCATTGTGGAGTAAACAGACGTCTGTGGGAGTGGGAAGCATTCAAAACTTGTTGGCTGTGTGCTCGGCATGATTCACATAAAAGAGGAGAACATTGCAAGTTATATGTAATTGGTCTGCAAATTTAAAAAAAAATTTCATGGAGTTTAACTGATTATTTTATTTTTTTGTAGTCAAAATTTTCTCTAGAACAGTAAGCGTCTCTCTCTCTCTCTCTCTCATATAAATGTGCAAGTCATACTGGGGGTGTAGGACAGTAAACAATGCCCCCATCTGGCAGCTGGGAGATGAATTATATGAACACTCATCTTATCTCATCATATTTCACTTGAAAATCATGGGTTGGAAGCAAAGGTTGCTCTTTAGTGACATTTTTTTTTTAAATAACATTATCTACCTAAACAGCACATATCACAACAGTTGCAGCCATCATCTTGATTTCAGAGTTTACTAGCCATTTTGGAATTATCCCCAGCTGCCTACCTCAGAGTCTTTTCCAGTTTAATGCAGGTTGGCTGGAAATGACTAAATACACACATACACATTCTCCCTTCATTCACTGTCTTTCTTTTATTCTTACTGCTGTGAAAGAGAATATTTGCTGTGGTACTTCCCTACCTCAACAAAGCTAAAAGTCAAGTTTATCCCTGTTGCTTCCCATAAGCCAGAAGCACAACAGCAGTAAGTCCATCCCCAAAAGTAACTCATTTACAAACACTGCTGATTCCTAGATGCTCATCGACATAACTTTTATTGATCCTTTGCCGTTACTTACATCTCCATGTGGGTCTTCCTCTCCTACCAGCATCCTCAGGTTGATACACCATTTACTAATCTTCCACTTCTCATTTTCTTAATACTGTGCAGTACAGTACAGTACATGATCTCCAGTTTGAGAATGCCAAATCTGAAAACTTCCAAAATTTTAATGCCCACACATTAAAATATACTAAAATGGCATTTGAGTTTCTGAAGATTGCTTCTCCATTTTTCATGCAAGGTTGTTGCCCTCTTGTCAGTGCCTCGCATTTTTAATATAAGGTGGTTGGCTTTGTGCTTTTCTCACATATCTCCATGGTAATTACGTTTATTGTGACATTACAATGGCATCCAACACATGTCCAAACGTCAGTGCTGTGTGTACTGGTGTGAAGAGGGAGTGTGTTCATTATGCAGAAAGTTGAAAGTCAACATAAATTAGATAAGGGTAAGTTGGTGCATAACATGAAGGAACATTATGGTGTTGATAACTACTAGGTGACATATCAAGAAGTCACATGAAAAGCTGATAAATTTTATGCTGAGAGTGATGTAAATAAGAACATTGCTGAATGTAAATCCGTGTATTAATATCAGCTGATTTTTATAGCCTTTTGTGTGAAAAGTTCAATAATTATTATCTGAAAATACCCCATATTTGAATACTGTACTACTCAGACCAAAGAAATTTGGACTGGAGATCGTGTACTGTATGTATGCCCATATCGTCTGAGTACTGTACATAATGTAAACTTGGGAAATTAAAGAAAGGCAAAGGATGAAATAAGCAAAAGGCCCTTTTAAGATCAAGGGGCTCAACACAGTTCTGATTTTGAGTAATCTTGTAGTGTCTGCTGTTGCAATTACTTATTCATGTACACCATCTTTCAAAACTTAATTCTTTCAAGACTATTTCTTCTTTTTTTTTTTCACTAAATAACAATAATGTGTATTAGGGGAAGTCGGGAGGATATGATCGCTGCAGCTCAGCAAAACACTGGGCCGGTCAACTCTCAAAGTGCCATCTTGGTGGACGACCCTGAGGCCTGGCGATCCACTTGAACCAGCTAACAGTTTTATAACAAGCACCATCGATCGTTTTGATAACAACCACTTACATGTTGGTTTCTGGTTTTCTTCTTATAGTGTAGGCATGTGTAGTAGTCAATAGAATGTCCAAATTATGCTTATTGAAAGTTTGAGCATTATGTCGTGCATGTATATACTGTACTGTATACCTTTACTACCATCTTGCTGTATTTTTTTAATTTTGCAGTACCTGTGTCTACCATGGGCTAATATTATTTAAAATTTGCGTGTATTTTTATAAGTTACTTAATAGGTACAGTTAATAGATTTTTTATTAGATAATAAGTTCAATTTGATCATTTTGTTTTATAGAAATTGATACACAATTAATCACTTGGTCATCTCTGCCCCTGTATTGAACACATGACTTGTTTGTTGAGCAGATTCATTTTAACAGCTGATTCATGAAGATGCTGGGTGAATATATTAATCTTGAATAAATTATATTTGTGCAGTAAAGAAGAATCTAGATAAAGGTACTGTAAAGTTACATGTTTAGTACATGTATATTAGTAAAGTGTTCAGATTGAATTAGTGTTAATTAGGCTGGGTTTTTGCTGGTGAACACTCACTTTTATGGATTTTTATTGAGAGCTTCATATATTAAGACTTAACACCTACCCCACCATCCCAGGGAAAAAGGGAATACCGTACTGTGCAGTGTCTACTTTCTCCAAGTCGCTTCCAAATCATACACTGTGCACCCACACTTTGGACTCCCAGCACTTAGATTAGGTTTGGGCAAACTCAAATACAGTGACTGATGCTGTCTGTTAACCCAGTTTTTATGTGGTCATTAGCCCTTTCATAGATTTTTTTTCTCTGAAGTGTGGTGTTAATTTATAAATTATTTTGATTGCTGCAAATTAAGGGGCTATTGATATGTTTACCCAGTATTTTTACAAATTATCTGCATCAGCATGATACATGTTGAAAGTGTCAGTACTTGATGGTGGTTTTTAATTAAAAATAAACCGAGTGTGTGTATATACATGTATACCTGTAGTGGAGGTCCAGTTTGGTTGTGTTTCTAATATGAAATTTAAAACAAACCGATGGTTTATCACTACATATCCCTAACAGAGTTATGATATTTTTACAAAAGAATGGAGGGTACTGTACCCTGTATATGAAATTTCGTATTCTAAGCACACCTGCGAGGTCCCCTGTGCCAAGAAAGCATGATTGATGTTTATTTTGCTTAACTTGATATAGTGTTGAATTTTGTATTTATAACTTAGAGCTGAACACTAAAGAATATTTATTTATTGATGATACTGTACTTGTTCTTGAATAATTAGGAAAATCTTGTTAATCATTTAGATTTGCAGCGTATCCTAACTTACTGGCTATTATTCAAATGACTAATTATAAGTACAGTACTGTACTGTAATAAGGGTGAGTTTTATGTACTGTGGCTTTAAGCACACTGAGTAGACATTTGCACAAATTGTGATTTTTTTTTTAAATACTATTTATTTTAATTCAATTCTGCCTTAACAGTTTTTCCTATTAATCTCTAGAAGTTTAATGAAAATAAGTGAAGTACAGTGACCCCTCCGTTAACGAACTCAATCCGTTCCAGAAGGTCGTTCGTTAACCGAAAAGTTCGTTAACCGAAACCATTGTTTCAATGGGTTTTTGGGTAATTGGTTCCAGCTCACCGAAAATTTCCTAAATTCAACAAAACTGGTAGAAAAGTTCACTTACTTTGAGGTGTGTATGTAGAAGGCTCCTGGATGATGATGATGATGGGATTTAGAATGGGGGTGGAGGAGAAGGAAGAAGAGAAGGCATTGGGGTGGAAGAGAAGTCACCCCATGGTGCCATTTCACCCATAAAATTTTAGCTCTCTGGTGTAATTCAAGATTATTTTCTTTAAATCAACACTGCACTGCATTATATATTGTCAATATGTAAAATATATTTCAAAATGACCAATAATTTGCTTGGAAACACAGAAAAAAGCATTTAGTTGAAGAGAGTCTCAAGCAAGATGTTACCTCCAGTGAAAACAGAGAGAGACTAACTCCTGTTTGCTGTGTTAAGAGGCTGGATGCCGCGCATTAAACTAGTCACTTTACCTTCAATTATGTTCAATAATTGTTAAAATGACTAAAAAATTGAATATTAAACTTTTAAAATTATTGAATAGTATAAACTTCTTGATATTTACTAAAATAGTAAGGAATTTAAGCCCTAGAACCGATTAATGTATTGGCGGACTGATACTAAAGCTGGTTGCCCGGTCAGTGCAAGCGAAAACATGTTGAGGTCGGTTCGTAAGAAGTTCGTTAAGCGAATTTTTTTTCGTTAACCGAATTGAAGATCCTTATGGAAGGCAGATCGTTAATCGAAATTACGTTAACTGAGGTGTTCGTTAAACGAGGGGTCACTGTACTGTATTGGATATTATTATTATTATTTTTTTAACTGCAGATCTCATTTAATAGCAGTTCAGATATTGGTAATGGATGACTTTTAGTCATTGGTAATAAGATATACCTGTACAGTCTCTCCTCGACTTACAACGGGGTTCCGTCCTGACGACCAGGTCGTAAGTCGAATTGGTCGTTAGTCGAAAAGGCGAAAATAATACATAGAAATTCTAAAATGGGTGTCTATTTTTCTTCTCAGCACCACAAGAACTCTCACTTTTACACTTGCCAGCCATTTTAAAGGGAATTACAAACGAAAATTTTGTCAGTACATAGTGCGACCACTAACGTCGGGACTCAAAAATACGTATAATGTGAAAAATATTTTATACGACCATGGCCGTCGTATTATCCGGGTTGTCGTAAGTCGAATATGTCGTAAGTCTAGGAGAGACTGTTTGTATTACAGGGTATACAAATACCTGTGACAAGAATTCCTTACGTCACTGGATGTAAGTATTGTACTGTGCTACATTGCCATTATTCCCTATAAAGGACTGAAAGGCTGTGGTGTCGTCAGATAAGATGATACTTATGGATGAACCAACAAGTTCCATATAGTACTGAACCACTTTTCTCCTACAGAGGCTCCCGGGAAGACATGATAGCAGCTGCTCAGAATTCAACACGACAAAACTCCATGAAGAACTCTTTGGTGGATGGAGCATCTCCCTTATCTGCTTAAACTACAGTATCACACCCCCTTCCAGCTCGTCCAGGAGCAGTGATTGTGTTGCATTTGTTGTTGTTGTGGTTAGGATGTTTGGGAGTTTGAAATATGAATTTTTTTTTATAAATTAGACCAGTATTTTGAAAAGGCTTGATAATAGTTTCATACAAATGTGAATAATGTCCCACATTGCTACTAAACCTGAATTGCAGTTAATACCAGGAGAAGACCGTACTGCATTACTATATACGGTAATAATAATTTAAACCATATAAGGGAGAGTTATAGACATTAATAACAACTTTTTTTTATTACAGATTTAATGATCTTGTTCTGTTTTTAGCATTCTTTGTATTAATGATTTTTCCATTTGTTTATATATGTTAAGAATACAGTACAGTATATCATTAGTATTTGTCTTGTAATCATGCATACACACTACCTGTACCATGTATTTGTCAGTTCTCGCTCTCCCTGTTTTCTTTGTTTAATATCCTTGTTAATGACTTGGTAAAAGATATTTATACCTGTATTTGTATCAGAGGGCACATTACACCAACTCCTGTTTCATAGGATACTTGGAACAATTGTTCCTTGCAGTTTACAAAAGTACAGTATCACTCTGACAGCCATTTTCATAAGGTTATGTAGTTTTCTGCTCTTTGGTTATTTAATTTTGTAGATAAGATTATAAAATTAATGGGATCACTGCTGAGAATGCACAGACTAGGACATGGTGAGAGTCAGTATTATCACTGGTACCTCTGCCAGGTTAATGTGGATAAGGAATAATGGAAATATAATTTGACCACCAAGCTAACAATTAAAGGAAGTCACTAGTCCTAGGGTCTTGGCATACACTGACCCCAGTGTTTTATGTAAACACCATTTTATAAAATTAATTTTAAGAAATAACTTGATGGATATGTTATTCCCAGTACTAGGGAACATACACAAACTATATTTTGTAAACTGAAGTCTATTTCATTATTACTACCAATCATGTGAAATGCTGTTAACTTTAAAGTTTGCAATAAAAAATGATGGCCAGCTTCAGTATTAAGATATATATTTTGATTTTATATTCAGTGCGGTAATTAATGTTTTCTACCTTAAACAACTATTTGTGCACAACAGATTTCATAGAATCTAGATGAACGATTTTGTGAATTAAACCTCTCAGGGTACATAATTTCAGCGGGAACGAAATCCAATTTGAGTTTTTTCATTCATGAAGAAAATAAATTGAATGCTCCTGATTTTTTAATCATAATTTGACTCGGCGAGCATGTGGTATTATGTATTTCAAATGTGTCAGATCATATTACCTAATAAAATTTAAATTTTCTTGATATATTAGATCAGCATGATAGGGGATCTGATCTCTCTAACACTAAAAATATATCTTTAAAGAACTGAGTCATTATCACAATACAGCATAGTTATATGGTTCCAGCAAATTGAAGTGATTTAACAAAATATGATGTGCAGTATTGCAACCCACATGTTTAAAGAATAAAGGAAGGGTATATTTCAAGTTAAGTGGTCTGAAAAAATTACTGAGGGAAGATGCAACTCTCACCTCTGTATAAACAATTAATTTAGTCATTTTATGTGAAGTGGTACCATCGCTGTTTTATGGACATTTTCCACGCTTACCGTGATTACCTGATGGCATGGCTTCCTGGTTGCCGTCAGGCAGATACGAAGCAAGTTATATGGCTGATACCCTTCCTATTACCAACCCATTTTTACAGAATGTGAACTAGACATTATAGTATATAGACTTTCAAATGCCCTTTTACCTGGCAAGGCAGGGTCACAACTCCTTAAGGTAGTGACCATAATCAAAACAAGCTTAAGTTACCTGCCTACCTAATACAAAGATAGGTTTTGAACCAATTCCTGTACCATATAGGTTTTGAACCATTTCCTGTACCATCAACTTGGTGTTGGTGATTATGGTCACTGAAATGTTAAATGCCCAAACAGGGAAAAGAAAAAAAAAATTCTTGAGAGAAAAAAGGTGAGATACTGTACAGGGATGCGTTTTGGCAATCGGGATGCAGTCTTGAAAAGCTGATCACTAAGTGGTTTGATTGCTGAGCAAACAGAAATTAGAAATAATATCTTAAACGAGGGATAACGAGAAATAATATCCGTGGAGATGGCACGTAATTGTGTAGTGGAGTCGCCTGGCCAACTCGCCACTCGGTAGCACTCAGATGGGTGAGGGCGAGCTGTGTGATATGTTATTCTTCAACTCAAAATTTTGGGTATATGAACGTAATTTTCTTCATTTTCTTGTACAGTACTTTATTACATACACACACACATTCAATCATACAGAATGTGCAAAAAATATAAACAAAATAATCATCATAAGGTCAAAAACATAAGGGAATACAGTAAATAGCTGTTAACCAGGTCCACCTATTAGCCGACAAGAGCAGGGGGGGGTCACTTTAGTACGCAATATCACAATAGTACAGGGCAATGAACAGTCAGTATAGTACTCAATAACATGCCAAAGTCACAACATTAACAGCAATGCACAGTAATCAATAATATACAGAGCAGTACTATTGTAAAGCACAGATCGCAATGTTCAAAGGCAGGGTAAACACCAATGTAATAACAGCCTGGGATTGTAGGTAGTATCTTATACATGTACAGTATTACCCCGCCTAACGCGGTTTCACTTAACGCGTTTTATCATATACGCGGTGCCTCGCCAGAGCTGAACTTTCACTTAACGCGGAATTTTTCATCATATACGCGGGAAGCGGCGCGGGCACGATGCGCACAAGGTCGCCCAGTCATCAAAACATTACCGAGTTCTTCACCCGCCACCCACCACAGCCGGCCCAAGTCAGTGATAGTGATAATTATAGTGAGGATATGGACTTATATGGCCTTTGAGGGGTTTGACAAAGAGGCCCTGCAAGCCTCTGTGGTGGATAGTGATACAATTGATACAAGTGATACAGGTGAGGGCCAATAATCTGCCCTCTGCCTCGGAACCAACCCCCCATCCCCGTGTGCCCAGCCATCTTTTCTACTAATGCAAGTGTTAAAAAACCTAATATTATTGATATTTCTCTTAATTATTAATTGTGTGTGCATACCATCATAAAGTTAAGATAAAATTTTTACTACAACATAGTTGTGTGTCGTCAAAAAGTGGAGTTTGGGGGTCGGGCCAGTCTCTATTGGAATTAATCCCATATGTTCTGTTGTTCACTTAACGTGGTTTTCACTTAACGCGGTACCCTGTGGGTTCAATTGACCGCGTTAAGCGGGGTACTACTGTATAGTACCTCCCTTTCCAAGTGGTTTAGTGTCAGCCTTGAAAATACTTTTCCCTCCTAGTGAGTTGAAGATTGCTTAACCGAATTATCGCCAAGTGAATGATCTCTAAATGGTGGATACCTGTATAGTGAATCAAGTTACCAAAAGATATTTCCAAATTCAGGTGAAGCATACAATACAGGGGGTTCCTGGGTTATGAACGGGTTCCGTTCCTGAGTACTGTATGATCTTAAGTCGGAACCCATGCTATGCGCATGCTACACTTACAGAATGGTGTTTAAAATCCAACTTTATCAGAGCCTAAATCCTTATAGCCATCTAAAATAACTTAATTTAAGACAAAAGAGGAAAGTAAGAAATAAGTCATCAGGTAAATAAAATACTGTAAATTTCAATGGGATATTGGGTAATTGGTTCCAACTCACAGAAAAAGTAAATACAAACATTAAATATAAACAAAGTACAGTACTGTACCTCGTATTTCTTAATAATTTCTGTACTGTATATTGTCAATATGTTAACTAAATTTCTGAATGACTAATAAATTTAATGTAAAAATGCAAAAATATTCGAAAGACCAACAAACTCGATGTGTACTCCACTGTAAACAAAGTTAAACTGAGAAATGTCAATGGGTGATACGATCACCCCATCTGCCCAGCCTGGATTTGGTGGTTTTAGACTAAAGTTTTTATCTAATAAAATATCACAGACTAAAGTTAGGGGATAAAAACTTGCATTGCTAGAATCCTTGGAAGACAGAGAATAATGTGAATATAAACATCATATATTTTGCACACAAAATAAAAATTTTAGTACTGTACATCGGTGTACAATAGTACATTTTAGTATGTACAAGTTTTTCAACTGTATTTTTGGGTAGATTTACATAAATTTTTTCATTTATTTTTATTCATTTACATGCACACACCATCCTAAAAAAAAGAAAAGAAATAATTGTCCTAAGTGCAAACCTGTACTGTACTCAAATGTACTGTAAAAAGTAATAAAATTTTTATGTCTAATGCAAACTATAGCATGTTTATATTCAAATTAATCACTATCTTACAAGAATTCCAGCAATGTAAATTATATTCTCCCAGATCAGCTCAGTGACATTTTATAAGAGAAAAACATAAACCCCCTGTACAGGACTGATAAATAAATACGCACTAGACCTTCGGCGCCCAACTGTCACAATCCATCATCCCACCTCCCTCTCCCCCATCTGCCCAGCTAGGGTTTGGTGCTTTTTAGACTTTTTAAAGTTTTTATCTTATAAAATATCACAGACTAAAGTTAGGAGAATACAACTTGCATTGCTAGAATCCTTGGAAGACAGAGAATAATTTGAATGTAGACATATGTTTTGCACAAGAGAAAAAAATTAATCACCTGTATTACATTACAGTACAGTGACCCCTCGTTTAACGAACACCTCGGTTAACGTAATTTCGATTAACGAACTGCCTTCCATAAGGATCTTCAATTCGGTTAACGAAAAAAAATTCGCTTAACGAACTTCTTACGAACCGACCTCAACATGTTTTCGCTTGCACTGACCAGGCAACCAGGTTTAGTATCAGTCCGCCAATACATTAATCGGTTCTAGGGCTTAAATTCCTTACTATTTTTGTAAATATCAAGAAGTTTATACTATTCAATAATTTTAAAAGTTTAATATTCAATTTTTTAGTCATTTTAACAATTATTGAACAAAATTGAAGGTAAAGTGACTAGTTTAATGCGCGGCATCCAGCCTCTTAACACAGCAAACAGGCGTCAGTCTCTCTCTGTTTTCACTGGAGGTAACATCTTGCTTGAGACTCTCTTCAACTAAACGCTTTTTTTCTGTGTTTCCAAGCAAATTATTGGTCATTTTGAAATATATTTTATATATTGACAATATATAATGCAGTGCAGCGTTGATTTAAAGAAAATAATCTTGAATTAAACCAGAGAGCTAAAATTTTATGGGTGAAATGGCACCATGGGGTGACTTCTCTTCCACCCCAATGCCTTCTCTTCTTCCTTCTCCTCCACCCCCATTCTAAATCCCATCATCATCATCATCATCATCATCATCATCATCATCCAGGAGCCTTCTACATACACACCTCAAAGTAAGTGAAATTTTCTACCATTTTTGTTGAATTTAGGAAATTTTCGGTGAGCTGGAACCAATTACCCAAAAACCCATTGAAACAATGGTTTCGGTTAACGAACATTTCGGTTAACGAACGACCTTCTGGAACGGATCGAGTTCGTTAACCGAGGGGCCACTGTATTGGCGGACTAGCCTAGCCGATCAGCTGATGTGCTCACCAAAGTGTGTGTTTCTCGTAAGGCTGTCGTTAATAGAAGTTGTACTCGTTATTAGAACTGAAAATCCTTTTGGGAGCCTATTCGTTAACCAAAATCTCATAAATTGAACCTCTCGTTAATGGAGGGTCCACTGTATATAGTCAATTTTGAACTAAAATGGTGATTATGCAATTCATTTTCAGAGACCTCATGTCTGCTTCCTTCCCAAACTGATACCTGTTACAGTAATTAGGACTATGACACATGGCACCTTACCAGTTTATACAGAAAAATACAAAATAAATTTTTTTAAATTTTTCTGTACTGGTCTGTAATCAAAGACTGGCTGTTTGTTAGCAACTGAATGGACAGAAAAGGCTATCGGATGTATACACTCCTGTCCCCACACTTTCATTCTGACATTAGTTTATAAAAAAGCATAAATGGGAGAACATAACCTGCAAAGAATACCTACATTTTTTGTGAACGAAGAAGCTTGCTTATCCAGCTGTGAACCCTGTTTACACACAATTTCATTATTCTTATGTACTATAAGGTGTATTCCTCCTTAGTTAGATTGTTCAGTATTATAGTGATATTTAAAGAATTGTTTTGTGAATAATTTTCATGGTTATGTCTATTGAGATAAGAGTCTAAAAAAAATCAAGTTTTTATAAATCATGGTTTTTTAACACATTTTTCATAGGTCTTGAGCTTTGAACAGTAGATTTTCTATTTCTTACTGAGGAGGAGAGTTAAAATTAGTTTGCAGTACAGTACTGTACATCATGTTGGCCATTTCAGTGTTGTTAAGCAGGTGCTGTACTGTATATTATATAAATATAATGGACTAAGAAATACATTTTAGAATATAC